GTGGTCTTTTGGCAAGTGCGAAGGCGGCGTGAAAAGTTTTGCTTAGCTTCTTCATGTTTTTTCCTTTGCTTTATTTTTTTGTTTTGGATGCAGGGAGGTGCCCCCCCAAAAAAAATTGATGAATTTATTGGCCTGCCCCCCCCCCAGCCTCCTACTCCACAACGATCCAGACTAATTTATGGCTGCCACTGATGAGCTGATAGAAGAAGAAGCCCAAGTAGCACCAGCTGAGCAACATAAATTTGATTACGATTTTTGCTTCTTTCTTTTTTCCCTTTTTTTTTTACTCCAAAAAGTGGGAACAGTTATACAGGATATACCCTAAACTGTTCCCAGTTTATGATTTTCAGGGAATATTTTTAGTTCTTTTAATTCTCTTTTAACTTGAACAAAATTATTATGTTTATTCTCCAACTTCCTAATAATAGTAACTAATATTTTTAAATTTTATACATTTTTTATACATTTTATCTTGAAGTTATTCTCGCCTTGTGAAAAGTAAACTTCCGCCAACAAAAGCAAAAAAAAAAAAAAAAAATAAAGAGGATAATAAACACATGACAATCCAGAAAGTGCGCGTGTATGTGTTAATTTGCTCGGGTGTGTGTGTGTGTGTGTGTGTGTGTGGCGTAGTTTTCCAAAGAGGAGGAAAAACTTTTGTTTACCCAATGCTGGGAATGAAAGATATTTCCAACGAAAATTCCTTCGTGAGGGATCTAATTAACATAATGTTGGGTACAAACTCCCACCACCTTCCCCTCCTCTTCATCCTGTTTTTTATTATTTTTTTTTTTTTTCACCATCTCTATGACAATGCATTGGTGTGGGTTTAGGTATGTGTGCCTGTGTATTTGTGTGTGTCATTAGCGTTTTCGTGGCATGTGTTTTTCCGCTTTAAGTTGCCTTTGTATACAGGAAAAAAAACTGTTTCAAAATTCTATTACTAGATTTCGATTTAATAAATTCCATAAATCATAAAAAATTTAATCATAATATATTTTTGTAATATTTGAAATAAAATAAATATTTTAGAATTATCGAAATATTTATTTTTTTTTTTTAGAAATTCTATAAATTTATTAAGAATTGTCACCACAAAAATTAAAATTTTTTTTTTCTATATAGTTTTTTCTCTTTCACACCGACAGTCTACCCGTCTCTTTTGCTTTTTCCTTTTGCGGTGGCACTTTCAGCACGTGCGTTTTCAACAATAGCAACAAACACATGGAAAACAAAAACTGTAGGAGCTAAACTAAACCCAACTATACAGCCACAACAACAACAATAATAACGCTGACAGTCAGCAATTACAATAAACAAAACAAAACGCAGTGAATTCTGGAAAAAGAGGAAAATGTTGAAGAGGGTGTAAGAAAAAGACACAACAACAACAACTGAAAGGAAATGGGTTACTCGTTCAAAGGAAACGAAAAGGTGGGGTCTCGAAATATGTAAAATGCCCTAGATTATGATAATATTTCGAAAAAAGGTACAGTCTGCAGGCAATTAGGACGAAGTAAATGCATTAAAGAGGATTAACCAACACTGAATCTACAAAAAAATCAATCAAGCCTAATACTTAATTTATCTTAACAATCTTCGAAACAAAAACCAATCAAATCTAAACAGTATTAAATCTCAAAATCATTAATATTCTTTCCAGTTAATTGAAAGGTTTTTTTTTAAGTTATATCCACTAAATGCAACATATTTTGATTGTCCAAATCTCTTTTTTAAATTGTACTCAAGCAATAAAAAAAAAAGATATTGTGATAGCAGCTAAAGGTTAATAAACCTTAATATTTTCCCTGTTCTACTTCACATAACTCTGGACATGATTATAGTAATTCATGATCTTAGGGACAATAAAAACCAAGTGACACAGCGATGGCAGACCGAAAGTAATTTTAATGTCTCGCCTGGAAGTACATACATAAAGCCAAAGTCGGTGGGGGTAAATATGGCAGAGAGAAAAAAAAGAAGAAAACACCAATCCTCCGGGTCCCAAGCACGCAAAAGAAAATAGGGGAAAATGTGGGGAAGTGGTTTTTACTATCCAACGAGAATCTACCGCAACTAAAAACAAAAGTTATGTGTGCACGAAAAATCATGTCCAGTCATTTCCTGTACAACTTTCGGTCGAAGGACCCATGGGGTCCTGCCTGCCAGAAAGAGCTGGGGGGAAGGTGGACTTGGGGTACGGGGATATTGGAGGCCTACAAGAGACCACCATCTTCTCCTCCTACTCATCCTTCTCCTTCTCCTCCTCCTCCTCCTCCTCCTCCTCCTCGTCTCAATCCAAGCGGCTTTCATTCGTTGGCCTTTTATGGTCATAAAAATTTTATTATAATTTTTAATAATTTAGGCAAGCATATTGCTGCCAGCGAAGCGAACCCGGAGCTATCCAAAGTTTTTCCACAGTTTTCCTTTGCCTTTTGTGGAAAACGTCCCTTCAGCCGCTCAGTACCCCTCTTTATCACCTGGCATATACGCACGCCGGGCATTTCCGGCTCTATATATATGTATGTATGTATGTATGTGTATATGCATGGACTTTTCTGGGGGGCACGGACAAAATACGGACGGACACGGATACGGACAGTGGAGCACAGTAGTCGCAGTCAAAGTGCAAATGCCGTAAATCATGGCGCTGGTAAACAAGCAACAGAGCAACAGAACCGAACGTAAAACAGGACGAAAACAGTCCTGCAGTTTGAGAATGGAACTGGGAATATCCTAGGAAAAAAAAAAATAAATATGAACTTATTTTTTTTTTAATTTCTATAATTTTGTTATTTAAACATTGAAATTTTTGTTTGAGAAGTTTAGTCATTTAAAAATCATATTCAGATATTACAAAAAATCTAAATTATTATAGAAGGCAACTAACTGGAGTTTTATTATTAAACGCACAGAATATTATTCAAATTAAAGTAATCTAATGATAAGTCTCTTCTTACAACATATTTTCAAATGGCAATACCTTTTGACTATAAAAAGGGGTATCAAAAAAGTAGAAAATACCCCAGAAAATGGCAAAAGGATAGCCATATATAGCAGCTAAAAAGCGATAGGGATACGGATTGCTGGGATATATATGCTTTCTTTCGGCGCGTTTCGTTAGCGTTTTAAGCGCGTTTTTGAGCACAGTTTTTCTGTTGTCCGAGTTTTCCTCGCTTTTTTGTTTTCCGTTCTGTCGTTTCGCCTCTCTCCCTTTTACTTTTTTTCTTTTGTTTTTTGGCCTTTTGAAGGTGGCGCCAATTTGATGAAATCGTTAGCATTACTTTTTGGCTAGATGTCGAAAAAAAACAGAAGAGGAAATGGTGGGAAAACGGGTAAAAACAAGGAGATTTTCCATTGTGTGAGAATCACGTATAAGGCGAAACCAAAACAAGCACGGAAATTTCTCACGTGTGCAGTCGATAAGGCATTAAAGAGTTTCACCAGCCATTAGTTCTCAACTTCATTTCTAAGCCCAAGAATTATTTCAAAATAATCCCAGTCACTTTTTAAATTTAGTTACATTCTCCAAAATATGTTTAATAAACTCCGATTTACTTTTCGATTTCGACTCTCTCTTTAACTATTTAATGATCAAATCTAAGCAATAGATATATTTTTGCCTGGCTTTTCCAACTGCTTTAAATATTCTTAGGTCAGAACCAATTCCACACAAAAAAATAGAGAAAAACTGAAGAAAAATGCGATAAACAAACAAAAGCCGCAAATGCCAAGGCCAAACACCGGATGACAAGGGGATGAAAAGGAAGAATAGGGGGGAGGTCCTATCCCCATATGTCATACATATGTTTGGCGGCCTGTTTGTTTATGGGGGCCGCATTCAGTCGAGGAAATGTACACAAACCCAACGGAAAATCAAAAAAAAAAGAAAAAAGGAAAGAAAAGTGGAGACAAAAAGTGTGAAAAAAACGCGTTACAAAATCGTCGGCAAAAACAAAACTGCATAAGGTAGAAAAATGCGTGCAACATGCAGATAAATTTTAGTACTTAAATCTTTTAAATATTTATTCTTTATAAGATCTTTTTTTCGAATCTTAATGAGAATAAATTTTAATCTTGAAAATTGAAATCAAACGGGTTTTTGTTTGTAAACTTATTTTATATAATTATTTTATGTTTACAATTAATTGTATTTTTTGCCGTGTACAAATACAGTTACATTTACAGCTTAGCAGCAGTTGCAGTTGCAGTCTGCTGCAGTTGATGGCACAAATCCAGACAACTGACAACCCCATAATACTAGAGTTTTCATTTTTTTTTTTTTTTTTTTTGGTTTCATGCATACATATACATTGTGCCCTTTCATTTGGTTTAAACTTGACCCACAAAACGAATTTTATTGCATTCGTTTGCCATGCGAGAGGTAAATTGTGAAAAGAGCGAGGCGAAGGGGATTTAAAAACAAAAATCCGAATCTCCTTTTGACCTGCGCCTGGCTTGTAATTATTTTTTATGGCATCTGTTTTCATCCCGATTTCTTCTTCATTGCAAAACTGAAAGCTGTAATTCAATTAAGGCAAAAACATAAATCGCGAAAAGAATAATTAAACAAATAAGAGGGGATTATGAAGAGAAGGCACAGGGCACAGAGAAAGTATATGTTGAAAAATTTATATATATTTTATATAGTTTTAAGTGTTAGCAAGTGTAACGAACTTATTAATTGTTATTTTATTTATTTTATAATTAAAAAATCGTTTTTCTAAAAACTAAAACTTTTCGACATTTTAAAATGCATTTTGACATGCATTTTACATTTAATTTTACACACAGACATTAACGCGTCCTCTGGCGGTTAGAAAGCAAAGTTGGTGCCGCTCAACAGTGGCGCCTTCTATTAGTGAAGTTGAAAGGGCATTTGCGAAACTGTTATTTATTTTGGATATTTTATAACAAAAATTAAATTAAATTATTATCTAATATCTTTCTTTTTATAAAGAATATATTATAAAATTCCTTTTCCCTTTATCAATTTTCAGCTGAGTTAACAATTGCCTGGTTAAAATGAAGAGAATGCGCAGTCGTCTCCTGGTGCTCCCACTGAGCTTTCTACTGATTCTGACAATGCTTCTCCAACCGATTGCCGTCCAAGCCAAATCAAAGAAGAACAAATCCAATCAGAATTCTCATCACAGTGACTCATCATCTTCATCATCGACATCGTTGAGTTCCTCATCGTCATCATCTGCCTCAAATGAAGAAAACAAACCAAAAGGCGGCGATAATGGTGGCCAGCATTTTGCCATGGAACCACAGGATCAAACAGCAGTCGTTGGATCCCGTGTTACGTTACCATGCAGGGTTATGGAGAAGGTCGGTGCCCTTCAATGGACCAAAGATGACTTTGGACTGGGCCAACATCGGAATCTCAGTGGCTTCGAACGATATTCGATGGTCGGTAGTGATGAGGAGGGTGATTTCTCACTAGACATATATCCCCTAATGCTGGACGATGACGCCAAGTATCAGTGTCAGGTGGGTCCAGGACCACAAGGTGAACAGGGTATACGATCACGATTTGCCAAACTGACGGTTTTAGTTCCACCGGAAGCACCGAAAATCACACAGGGTGATTACCTGGTAACAACCGAGGATCGCGAAATTGAATTGGAATGCGTGTCACAGGGTGGCAAGCCAGCCGCCGAAATCACATGGATCGATGGTCTGGGCAATGTCCTTACCAAGGGCATTGAATATGTCAAGGAACCTTTGGCCGATTCACGTCGGATTACGGCTAGATCGATATTGAAATTGGCACCTAAGAAAGAGCATCATAATACAACGTTCACGTGTCAGGCTCAAAATACAGCCGATCGGACATACAGATCGGCGAAACTTCTACTTGAGGTTAAGTACGCGCCCAAAGTCACCGTTTCGGTAGTGGGCGGTGCCCTGGCAGGTGGTAAAATTCCCGAAGGCGCCGAGGTAATCCTTAGCTGTCAGGCCGATGCCAATCCCCATGAACTAAGCTATCGATGGTTTATCAACGATGAGCTAATGACCGGTGATTTTACTACGAAAATGGTAAGTTCTTTTACAAATTTTATTTTTAATATCTTCTATAAGTCTCTCAATCTTGTCTTAGATTATACACAATGTTACAAGGCAGTATCACGATGCCATTGTCAAGTGCGAGGTGGTCAATGCAGTGGGCAAAAGCGAGGAAAGCAAGAAACTGGACATAAGTTGTAAGTATTAAGTATTCTAAATATTCCCGATTTTCTATAACAAAGATTTTTCTTTGATTTTCCCTACTAGTTGGTCCAGTTTTTCGGCAGCGACCCGTCAGTGTAGAGGCCGATCTGGGTGCCACTGTGAGCATGCGTTGTGAGGTGGCTGGCAATCCTACGCCCGAAATCGAATGGATCAGCGAAAACTCTGATAAGGTGAGTTGAAAAATCAATAAATCTATATGGTTACTAATGGGTGTTACCCATCTATTTTCAAGATTGTTGCCCGAACACCAGAACTAAAACTAAAGGTGACCAGTGACAAGGCCGGGCGTTACTTCTGCAAAGCGGTGGTGAATGGTTTTCCCGAAATCGGAGCCGAGGCAACGATTTATGTGAAAAGAGCACCAATCATCACCTCCCATAAAGTTCAATTTGGCGGCGTTGGTGGTCGTGTTAAGATCGATTGCCTAGCCTTTAGTATACCAAAAGCTGAGCATATACTTTGGTCATTTGAGGGCAAGATCATAAATATGAGCAGTGCCGATCCGGATATATACATCTTCGAAGAACATCATTTACCGGAGGGCGTGAGAGCAGCCCTGATCATTCGGGACAGTAAGGCCACACATTTTGGCAAATACAATTGCACGGTTATGAATTCGTATGGCGGTGACTCATTGGTAATAACATTACTCCGAGAACACGGTAATATACCCGTACTTTTGGTAGTGATGGGTTCCATGTTCTGCGTGGCTATTATTCTGATGATCGTGATGATCATCATTGTGTACAGAAAGCGACGGAGTCGCAAGAAGCCAATGCCAGCGGATGTGATACCAGAGGCATCACGTGGCGGCGATAAACTCAACGAACTGAAAAGTGAATTGCGATCGAAGGCCTACGATGTAGAATATTCAGAGGCTGGAGGTGATGGTCTGGCCATAAATCTAACCCAATCCCCAATGCCCGATGTCCAGATGAAGGGCGCAACCTTGGGTGTACCGTTGGCAGGTCCTGTGAAGTTTGATGAACGATTTTCTGGTGATTTCGGTGGAGATCGTTACAATCGGCAGTGTCACATCAAGAATCTTAAGAATCAGCAGGAGACCTCCTACAAGGGCAGTAGTCCGCAAGCTAATGGTTATGCCCATTACTTTGAATATGCTTTGGACTATAGCCCACCGGGTGAAGGGGCAGCCGTTGTCGTGGGTGCTAGTCTCGCCAGTGGAAAGGTCAAGAACGGTGGCATGAACTCAGCCACGCTGCCTCACTCTGCCACCACGGTAAATAGTGGCGGAGGTGGTAGTAATGGCGGTGGCGCAAGTCTACCACGAAATCAGCGACACGAACTTCAGCAGTCCCAGCAAGCAAATGGATTTCTCGGTGAGTTAGTTTATAACTTATATTTCCGTTTGGGTTTTCAAATCATTTTTTAAAAAGTCCAACCGAAAAACCGAATCAAAAATCTTACTAATAGAATTTATCGACGTATCTTTGCAGGACAACCGCTACTTCAAAACGGCATCGATAGCCGATTTAGCGCCATCTACGGTAATCCCTACTTAAGGACAAACTCCTCACTGTTGCCACCCCTCCCGCCGCCCAGTACCGCCAATCCGGCGGCTACGCCCGCCCCGCCTCCCTACCATGCCGCCCGCCATGGACATGTCCATGCCCACCATGCCACCAATGGTGGTCTTAAGCATTTTGTGGGCGGGGCGGTTATTACGACAAGTCCCGTTGGGAATTTGAATGGAAATGGTGGCGGAGGCGGTGGATCAACGCCCAGTGGTGGTGGAGGCGTGGCAGCGGGTGGCAGTGTAAGCGGTAGCAGTTCGAATTTAACCGCCAGCAGTAATACCCTGGCGGCTACGCCCCTAACGGGCGGTGGTAGCAACAACGGTGCCCAGTGTGCCCAGAGTCCGTCCGGACAGTTTATACTGTCCAACAATGGCAAAGGACACACGCAAAAAGGACCTCTGGCCACCCACGTTTAAATAAGAGTATTTACCCATAAAATCGGCAAATAAAAAACAAAAAACCTAAAACATTGGATGGAGCCATTTAGCCTAACACATAAATGTATTTAAACAGAACTTCTAGTGTGTAACTGTTTTTTTTTTTTTTTTTTGTCAAAAAAATATTAGCGTAATTCTCAAATGGTGTAAACTATTTTCGAAAAGGCCTTGCAAAATATATCTATAAATATCATGGCTGAAACATAAGGACTAAGAGAGACATTTTTTGTGTTTGTAAATTTTTAGCGTACACAGACCTTGAAGAAAATAGTTTAACACCCTTTGAGTAACAATTAACCATAAAAATGTATGTAAAAAAAAAAAAAAAAGAAATGGAAAACAAAAACCGTATTGTGATTTATAGCGTTAATTATTTTATGGAAAAGCTCGATGAGTTTTGTAATGGCAAATTATATCAACTAGTGCAAATCTTAAGCTACTTATCAAGTAAAAAAAAATAAACTTATATCAATTAAAAACGAAACGTATCAAAATGAAATGAAAGAAAAACCAGAAACCAACTACAAAACTTTAAAAGTTCATTTTAAACAGCGAGTTGCATACAATTTTAAAACAAAAGAAAAACGAAAAATCAATTCAATTAAAAAAAAAAAAAAACACAATTATAAAATGCCTGTAGTTAGTTTCAAGTAAAAAAAAAAAACAAAACAAAACGAAAAGGAAAGTAAAATGCAAAAGCAGCAAGCAAAAAACGATTTTCTAAGCCAAAATTTATCAAATTTTTAGACTTAAATATTTATATAAAAAAAAAAAAAACGAAACAAACTGAATGCAGTGAGTGAAAATTTTACAGTAAGTGCTGAATAAATCTGTGACCCGGTCAAGAAAAGCCAAAAATATCCTTTATGATTTATCCTTATAATTTCGAATAGATCCTATTGTTATTTTGCTGCAACAACATACATACATTACTTTTTAATGCTTGATTTTCTTAGGGAATCTACAGTATTAATGAAGTTTAAAAAAAAAAAAAAACCTAAAATCACACCTTGAAAAGTAATAGGCAAATAAGTCCAAATATTGGTGTTCAAAGTAAATAGTAAAATAAAATAATGTTTGCAATTTCAAACTTGATCGGGCTTGCAGGACGACTTCGGCATCCAGAATTCATGTGAAAACTTGAATATTTTTTTGTCTAGCTGTTAAGCGAGTAAATGAAATTTAACTTTAAATCAATTATGTAAACAAATACATATATATGTATATATATATATATATCTATATATAGAGTATAAATGTGTATGTCAACGCTTAAATTAAATGGTTAGCTAAGATTAGAGAGAATGTTTGTTTTTTTTTTGGTCTGCCTAGTGGTTTAAGTCTATTTATAAACGTAAAAGAAACGTACATGTAAACAATTTTAAAAGTAAAAAAGAGAAAAATTTAAAAAAAAAAAAAAGCTTAGAAACAATTTGTAAAACATTTAAGCGATCTACCAAAAAAAAAAAAAAAAACGCCAGTAAGTGTGAAGCGTAAACTTTTTAACACGAAATGCTGCCTTATGATTCCTTGTTGGGTTCTTAATTCATTAAGCCAATACTGTAATTATATTATCGTCTTTTTTTTTTTTTTTTTTTTTTAACATATACACAAATATACATATTTATCTAGAGTAATACAGAAAAATGCTTTAAATGTTCTTCTTTTAAATTGATTTATACAATCGAATCTATTTCTATTTCGATTTCTTTCCTTGGGCTATTTGCGCAGAGCTTTTTAAATGGGATAAAGTGGATTCCGTAAATCGGAATAGCCGGAAATCGGATATTAAGATGGTGTTACATTTTTTGGATAATTGTCAAACGATTCAATTAAGAGTTCAATTACATAGACGTTACAAACAAGAAAAATAAGAAAAACAAAAACGAAAAAAAAAAAAAAACGAAATGATACAAAACGAAAAACAAAAGAAAATTCAAATGAAAATCCTATTAAGCCAAGTAAATTATGATAATTGCAAGAAACGAGTATAAAATGGTTCAGAAAAATGAAAACTAAGAACGTATTGCGTACGTGCAAAAGGAAAAGCGAATGAAAATGCAATTTAAGTCGAGATGAACTCAAACTAGTTGAAATAAAAATACAAGAAAGAAGTCAAATAAAATACTTAAAAATGCTAAAATAAAATGGTTGTTTTAATTCCCAAAATCGATCCAGCAAGATCATTGAAATTCAATTTTATAAATTAAAAATAATTGTTTTATTTTAATATTTTTGTTAATAAAGCAACATTGGTTGGAAACTCGAATACCTTCCACACGAACATTGATTCTTAACAGTGAAAAAGGGGAAGCCCGGGTGTGAAACTCGACTTATTTAGTTTGTACACCAACCAGGATCGCTGTTTATCTTTGAAAAGGCCGCCAACAAGATGGCGAACAGCAAACGGTATCTTCCAACCACTAGCACACGGTCACACAACGCCAATTTCGAACAGATCGGTTTTTTGCAGTGGACGAAACGGTTGAAAGCGGACGAACGTACGAAAAAGGCAACGCTAAAGGAACCTACCTAGAAAACAAACGACACAGTTCTTTTTTTTTTGGAAGTGAGTGCAACATAAGGATATACAACAAAATAATACAAATAAAAAACAACAAAATACAAATAAATGGCGCCTTAAAAACGCCCACGCAAAATGCCGCTAAAAAAGGAGTTCTTGCCGAAAGGATAAAAAAAAAAAACAAGGATTTTTCGAAAAGTGTATCTACCTCGAGACGCGCGTGTGTGAGTGAAAGAAAGAGAGATCGGGAGAGCGAGGAAGCGAGCAGTACGCAAGCGTGCGGCGTCGGTTTGAATTTGAATTTTTGCTCGATCCTCATAACAAAAAAAAAAGAGAATACCATTAAATAAAGTTTCAATTTTTTTGGCATTTTTTTTAATGTTTGAAAGCGGAAAATGTCGCCGTCGTCGGGAGAGTGCCTCCTCTTAGTTTATCAAATAAAGTTTTAAAATCGAAAGTTTAAAACTATAAAAAAAAAACCCGCTAAAGATTAACGAAACATAAACACTAAAATAAAATACGTTCATATAAAATATCCTCACAATTAAAAAAATCACATCAAAGAGAGACCAAAGAGGAGACACAAAAAAAAAAAAAGAAACCGAAAACTGAGGTGGAAAACTGGAAAAGTGGTTAACTGGAAAACTGGATTACAATGCAATCGCAGCGCAGCCGACGTCGCAGTCGCGCACCAAAAACTTGGATTTGTTGTATTAACAAAATGCACGCCGTTGCGTCGCTGCCCCTACTGCTGCTGACGCTGGCGTTTGCGAATTTGCCAAACACCGTCCGCGGAGCTGGTGAGTAAAGCAAAAACGCCGATTAGAATGAAGGGGATAGAGTAGATGTATAAAGAAAATAGGGTGGGTGCAGAAAAACATTTAAAATTCCGGGGCTTGCATACCCATGATCTTAAAAGCAAAGAAAACCCCTTTTAATACCATCAAAACCTTTAAAGATTTTAAAAACTATAATAATAATATCCTATAGATCATTTTCGCATACTATTTTATATGTTTATAGATCTTTGATCATTTCTTTAGCTTTCTGAAACCCAATACTACATGGCAATAAATAATGAAAAGTTCCTATAATATCAACAAGACATAGAGCTATACTGATGCTAACTCCGGCTTAAAGATGGATTTGGTTTTCGAACTTCTCTACGAGTTTAGATATTGTATTATCTTCTATTGGCTTTCTAAAACATGACTTATTCCTTGATTAGATTTAAATTTAATAAAATAAATTATATTTTTTTTAACATATATATATAATTTTTTGTTTTAAATGAAAATTAAAAAAAATTTTGAGCTTATATGATATTAAAGGATCTATCAGGGAATTTCGAATCTCAATACAACTCTGTATGTTCCCACTCCCTTTTTGTGTCTCCCCCCTTCCACCGTCCGCTTCCCTTTTGTGCTGTGTTCCTACTTCTTTGCCTTCCTTTTTATGGCTTGTGTTCACCGAGCTTCCTTTTCGCTGTCTTCCTTCGCTTTGCTTTGTTGTCAGTTTCGGACAGGTGGTCGTTTTTTTTTCTCTCCCTATCTCTCGAGCTCTCCCTCTCTCTCTCTCTCTCTCATTTACTTGTTCTTCCTCTTTTTCACTCTCTGCGCTGACTGCGCATGCTCTCTCAGATTTGAAAACCCACCTTTTTGAAAACGACAAAAAAAAAATACTCAACAAAATGAAGTAGAAAAAGAGGAAACTTTGTTTTTACCGTCGGCATTTTTCTTTGCCAGTACTCTTTTTCCTTTGTGTTTTTTTTCCGCTGCACTATTTGTTTTTCGCGGTGGACAACAACTTCCTTTCGAACTTTTGAAAGAAAATAAACTCCTCCATATGATATATGTACCATATATACATCATATATAGGGTTTATTTGACAACTGGTATTTGGTATTTGCATATGGAACGGCCGTTGTCTAATCATTGAGCAAATACCAGATCGGATCGGATCGTTGTTGTAGGTGTACACTTAGGGTCGATTGCCTTTCGTTAAAATGTCAACTTTCCACGGAACTCGAAATCTTTTAAGCGGAATTCTGGGTTCAGCAATGAGAAGTTGGTAAATGTCCCCCAAAACGATTATATCACAATTTCTAAACTAATAGAAAATAACCCAAAAACCAGAACAAAAGTGTAGTGTATGATATATCAGATATAGAAATGGGATAATAGTATTACATATTATTCAATAACACTAAAAAAATATAGTTCTTATAAAGAGTAAAGAGTAGAAATAAACCCTATTCATAAGTCTTTAGGCCCATTGACCAGTTTTTCGTCATTAAATAATCTTTACCAGAATTTTGATCCTTAAAACCATTAGGGAACCTCATTGTGACACACTCACTGTTGCTGTCATCTTCCTATATTTTTTTTACAGCTGCTACTGAAGATCATTGAACTATTATTTTTATAACTTTTACCTGAGTGTTTCCTGAGCTCGGATTTCCGCCTCCTAAACTCTTTATTTTTCCTACGTTTTTTTTTTTCTGGGATAACTAACCATGAGCGAGAGAGATCGTGTGATCTTTGCCAGCGACAAAACATTTGCATTTTTTAGCTTCGAGATATTAGCCAAAGGAAGTTGTAGTAATGCGTAAATAAATGGCATAAGAAAAGAAAACCCTATAAAACAAATTATCATTTGGAAAGTTTTGCACGGAGGTGGTAATTGTTTGATACATTTTATATTAAGCTTTACTACTTTGTTTAGATATTTTACATAAACTTTAAAATAATTAAATGATTAATCTCATATAATATCAAAGAAACCCTTACCAAACTTAATTTCTACTCATTTTTATTCACTAAAAACTGATCATAAAAAACACTTAAGTTTTCACAAATTCACGGCCCATTTGCTGCAATCCAAGTTTATTCAACTTTTCGTCGATCGAACGCCTGCATTTAGCCACCAATTTAGGGTATTCATTTTTTTGCAGGTTTAATGTGGCATGTAACGGTTTCACAGGGACGCAGACCAGCTAAGAACAACAACCACCGCATTCGATTTCATCATATCTCGGGGCAAACAGGACTGTATATAGTATATATATATATATATAGCATATAGGAAGAATAAACGACAGCTGTGCTCATGGAGCCAAAAATTGAAACAGCAGGAACAGGAGCAGGAGCAACCCCTGAGTCCTGGCATATTGCACATGCGCGTCCTTTTTTCTGTGTGCTCAAAGATCAAATTACGATATACCTATACATACATACATATACAACTATAGCAAACGATTGGGAGGGAAGGTAACTAAACGAGAGAGAGAGAGAGAGTGTAGAGTATCGGCTGAGATCTTTTGTATCTTGTTTTCTGCCTGCTCTTTCAGCTATTTCCTGTATATCCTGTGTGTGCACCCTAAAAACCTAAAAAAAAAAACACATTTATTTTTGACTTTTGTAAGTCACGCACACGGCAGATCCTTAATTAGCTAGCCTAGCCCTTGGCCTAGACCATCAGTAAATAGTTACTACATATAGTGAATACTATATAGAAACCATGAACATAAAGTCAGTAAATACAGCGTAGCGGCATATGACTAACATACCCATGGTTATGGGTCGTAAAATGTGCATTTTATGATCGGAATGGATCATCCACATAAAGTTGCAACTGAATGTAATGGAAATAAAATTAAAAGGGGAAGAGGAGAGCACTTAAATTGAAGGATCAACTAGAAGATGAGGGTAGGCCTTTCTAGATTTATAGCTTGGAAATAGTAAATTACTAGGAAGCCATAAATGAAAAACCATCTTCTGAAGATTATAAAAATCAATTAAAGTTTAAAAATTGTTAAACATAAGTTGATAATACAAGAATACCTTAAATTTTTAATACATTTTTGCATTCATGCACCATGCATTAATTCAGATGAATCAATAAATCAGTTCAAAAAAATGTGACTGAAATGCATTTATAAAAATTCGTGCCAATTCTCACGACTCCAAAATCATTTTTCCAAGGACGCGGCACTTAAAAACCCAGATTATTGTGAAAGTATTTCTTATTTCGGCGTCTCAATTAATTTGAGACCTCCACTTATCGACCATTTACTGTCGCATTTATTAATTAATCGACGCCGCCGACGATGGCCCAAAAAAAAAAAGAAAAAAGAAAAAGAAAAAGAAAAGAGTATCACTTTAAAATATAACTTTCCCATCAGTAACTTAAGAAGACTTAATTAAAAAACGGTATATGAAATCGGCTAATTTTTCAAGTGTTAAATCTGCTGTTACTCCTTGCCTTTCGCCTGGCCAAAAACAAAAAAAAAAAGAACAAAAAACCTGTAAATGATAAAGTAATAAAAAAAAAAGAAGAGAAGAGGGATCTTGTTGCCTGGTCACTTGATATGGCATTGGATATACGGCAGAGCAGTTCCGTTCCGTTCCAGACGATCCCGATCCCGATCCTGTTTTTCGGGACACACCTTGAAACCAGAAATTGGCAAGACTTTTCAGGTAGAATTTTGTTTGGCAACTGTAGAAGAGTACCGGGGACCACATCTTTCCTCTCCGGAAATCCACAATGTATTTTGATTTTTGTTGTTGATTTTTTTGCTGGCCATTTGTGTTGGCTGTCTTTTTCTGATATTTGCCATTTGTTCCCATAGTAGAGTCATTGCATAAACATGAAAATCATTTTCCCAGCCCATCTCCTATCTCTTTTTCGCTCTTTCTATGTTGACAACTACTTTCCAAGTTTTGTCTTGGGAAAATGCCTCAAATGGCTAGCTAGCTAGCGAATGAATTGAGGTTTTCCACAAATACAAATATCTATCTCTCTGTCTATCTCTCTTCATTTCTGCTGGCCAAACTAATTATGAAAACAGTCCTCACACATGTGTCGACAGCAATTAAATCCGCTTAGAAAAATCCATGGATTCTAAATCTTAGCTTAGCTTGACTTGGCTCTCTGCCATGGCTTTTATTGACTTTTAATGATGGCCAGGCGAATTAGTGCGCCCTGACTTACTCTTTCTGCCATGGCCAGTTTAATGAGTTTTCTTTATGGCCAACACATGTACACTTCGAGTCGGTATTTACCTCGAGATACAGGTACTCACACTCGGATACAATTTGAGCCCAGTGAGATACAAGATACACACAAACAGAGAGTCGAACGCACTGGCCGAACAAGTTTTTAGTTTTTTCCTTCTTTTTCTTGGGTTTCTTTGGTCTCTTCTCTCTCTCTCCTTTGTGTGGCTTGTTCTTGAACGAAAACGCGATCGCCAAGTATAAGTATCTGAGAGATACAAAAAAAACGACAGAAAAAAAGGCTGACAACCTCAGAAGAACCCCTCCTTTCGACCGACCCAGCCCCGCCCCTTTGCCCCACGAACAACAATTTTTATAGATATTACCCAAAGTGTCTTGTTTGGTTTGGTTTCGTTTCTTCTCCTTCGCGCTTTCTTGGCCCGGTCTCTTCTTCTTGTCTTCTCAACTTCTTGTGTCCAGGCTTTTTGGGCTTTTAGGCTGGGCCTCTGCCACGCCCACCACCTTGGAAATCCCCTTTTGGCAAATGCACGCTATGTTGCCGTGGGATGTTTCGATACTCTAATTCTTGGTCTTCGATTAAGTTCTTAATAATGCAATCATGAAAAGATCCTTATTGCTGTTTATGTCTAGAAGTTAAAACTTCTTCATAATAGTTTCCTTTTTTTTAATATAGATTTTATTTTAATCTATTTTCCAAAAGGCATATGTAACCGAAAAATACAAAATAATTAGAAAATTGCTCTTATATATGCTGCGCTGAATAAAATTTCTTCATTTTCTTAGC